TTTCACATAGCCCTTTCTAGCAAGTTGAAGAAAGTTTAGATTACTTATAAACGCATTTCTACCGAAGGCAATTCAATGCCCCTTCAAAGATCGTAAAGCCCAGGCTATCAGGTACTCCTGTCTTGTGTCAGCGGTGTTACACAACCCGTTTGAGCTTGAGCTAATCAAAAACCTTCTTTTCTTAAAACAAAAAATGAGCGTATCTCATTTATTTAAGTTAGACTAGAACTCAATCAGTTCTTGCAATGATTAGCCTTTAACCTTGTCTTAAGCATGCAGTGATGTATTGAGAAAAATATCGAATATTGAACTTTAACTTCTTTTTTTCTCATTCTTAAGGTAACTTTAGTTTTTATTCATTGCATAGCGGAGACTCAGCACACCTTTTTTTTCTTGACTGTAAATTGAGGCTTTGCTTGTGAGTTGATTGAATAACATCAACATCGATTACTCGAAGTAACAATAGTGATTTCAGAGATCGATTTCTACGTTTGGATTTTGGACTTTAGCAAACAATCACAGATCCATAGTTGTTAATTTGGGTTTCAACTTATCTCTGTTTGGCTTTTTCGTTAAGAAAGATTGGTGATTTTCGCTATTCCTGCATTTGCATCTTTGCTATACTCGTCGGCTCTCTTCTTTTTGCGCGCAAATCATTATTTAAAACAAACTCTTTACAAGTTACTGCTTTACTCATTCGTCACTGTTTTATTGGTTTGGTGGAGTGGGTAAATACAATAAATGTGTTGTGACCTTTCCAAAACACAACACTTTGCACTTTTCCTCCTGAAAATGAATTTCAGTTCTGTCTCTTCTCAGTGCTGTATTGCATGCATTGTAGCCGTTTGAGTCTACACATATACATTTTCGGTCAGAGCCTCTTCATTGTCGTTGCTGCACCATCTTGCAACAACTTTCTTCCATCAAAAAGTGTCGCAGTACAATGAATGTAGGCGTGTCAAATATTGTAAATGTACCAATACCTTTTATTGTATTAACCAGAAAGACCTCTGCAAGTCACTTTTTATCATAGCTTCC